AATCAAAAAAAAGATACTAAGGAACAAGAGGAAAAAAAATAAATTATCAAAACGCTAAAATAAAAATTAGGTCACAACAATAACAATAAGATCACAACTGCCAAAAATATTAAAATTACCCCTAAAAGCTTATCCAGAACAGAACGTAAAATAGTAAAAGCATATAAAAAATATCACTCAGGAACAACATGCGCGGGCCTCGCCAAAACATCACACTCGACAAAAATTATAGGATCTCTTAATCTAAAAGAATAAAAAAAGCAACTAAAAATAAAAGAAAATATAATAAAAGATCCAAACAATCCTTTAATCAAAATCTCGGAAAAAAGTAATCTTATCATAATCATCATGACAAAATAATCTAGAGCTTCTACCAGTAAAATGCAAAAAAACTGAATGAAAAACAACAAACAAAAAAGAACTCAAGGTAAAATAAAATGCAAAGAATAAAAAAATTTTTAAGTATTTACACAAACACTAAAACTACCCCAAATTCATCACACCAGATAACTAACTAAATAAGAAATAGAAATTATTAAACTAGTAATCACATCAGCCGCACAATATCTCATCTGGCCTGAAACCAGAACATACCCGGTAAAAGCAATACCTATTTTCTTTAAATAAATAATAACTCCACTTAACCAAACTAGCTTTAATCAATAACTAGCACAAATCACTTAAAAATATAAGTATAAATACAAAAAAAAAATAAAGAAGCCCCATTAGAATGCAAAATACGAATTAATCAGCCTATTTTAATTTAAAATATAATATACTGCACAGTCTCAAAAGCTCCCATAGCAGAATAATGAAAAGTTTTTAAAATAACCAGTTAAAATTTGAGAAACCAACATAATACCCAACATACTACCAAAATTTCACACACAACTTAAAGAAAAACTAGCCGGTAAAAAAACAACAGATTTTAAAATAGATAAAAACAACTTAGATATAAATCTTATAGACCAAAACTAAATATTTTATTTAAACTGAAGCTAAAAATATTAATATCTCTTTGATCCGAGGTCAAATATAGCTAAAGTCTATTTATAATATAAACAACTCGCAAACATCCTAAACCTCTTAAGCTAAAACTTAAACTAAACGAAAAAAATAAAACTAAAAGTAACCAGAAAATATAATAATAATTAAAATCTCAACTAAAGCCCCCTAGCCTACAAAAAAAATTTAATATAGGCAAAATACCCTTAAAAAACCAAAACAATAAAATAAGAATACCAAGAATGAACACCTAAAGATAAAAAACATCTCAAACA